CATTAAGTCCTGCTTTGTTAACATTTGTTGCCTGTTTTAAATTATCTAAGATCCGAAAGGATTTGTTCATTGAAAAGCATTTTGGAGTATTATTTTATTTGTCCTTTAAAGGGGATTTTTTTAAATGAAATTCAGGCTAGTTCTGATTATGAAACATCACCATACCTTCAAAAAACTATCTCTCTAAATCCTATAATTACTAACTACAAGGCAGAGAGGCCGATATTCTTTTCGACGTGGTGATAAGATTACACACCTTGATAGGTCTTCAGAAAATGAATCTTAACAGCAACATTTATTTCTCACAAGTTGTTAGAAATGAGGAAAAAACAAAAATATATGATTAAAATAAACAAATAAATATAATTAAACAAACAGATAAAAAAAAATACCTAATCTAATTGTAATAAGGTGAAGATTTAAAGTGATGGATGACTGTTTCGTACTTTTTGGGACTCGTCATCTGTATACAGCTCCATTCCCTTGCGAGTGATGGTATTCCACTGAGACTTGAACACAGTGCCCATAGTTTTAAACACAAAAGCGTTATCCACTGGCCCTCCTGGGCCGCTAGAGCCACCTCTTGTGCAATGGGTCATATCAGTTATTTAATTCAACTTAGATTTTCCTGTTGATTGATTGGACCGAAGTGCTCGGTCTCAGGATGGAATTCAGGATGCGTATTTTGTTCCATTTGAGACTCGTCAGTTAGATGTTAACTTTGTGATGTTTCACTCTTGTATAATTTAATAATTATTTGACTTCATTTTCAAGTTCAAGAAAGTGTTATTCTCCTGGCCATAAATACTGGTATTAAATATTCAGATAAATGTTAGTTTACGGGCCTTTAAATAAGTTATTACGACAATATTTCTACTTCAGAACACTTTATACAGGTGATTATTCTTCTCCCAAGTTTAAAAAAGCAGGTAACTTGAACAACACAGTAAAATACATTTTGATTCTGACGAGTAAAAATATGAAGCTATGTTACATTGGCTTAAGTTCTGCCTACTTAAAGCTAAAAAGCTGAGCACTACTGTAGAATAAGACACAGTTATTTTGACTTATATCTAAAGTTTTTTCAAGACGACCAAGTTGTTTAATTATGTAGAATAAGATTTCAGTGTAAATTAAAGTTAAATTATTCTGATGAGTCAGTTTATGACCAGTCGAATATTGATATTCTTAATCATGCGACCATTTGAACATTTCATCTAGTCATTTCCATTTCAAGTTTTTAGCTACAGTCAAGAAAAACAACCGGTTATATAACTACATTTAAATTAGATTTTGTCCAACCTAACAGCATAGAAAGTAGGGGTTGTAGATCATGGATTTGAAATTGTTCATGTGATGATTATATAAACTGTACTGTTTCATGATGCCTTACTTTTCCGTAGGTCAGTTTAACATTTTATCTGAATTTTATTCGTATTTACCGCCTAGTGACACAACATAAATTACTAAGACAACAGGAGATTATTAGTACTGATTGTATTTCTCAGTATTTTTCAAAAGCTTTAAAATCTCTGTCACAATATAATTCCTCGCATAGTGCCGCTATGAATAAACAATATCACCAGAGTCAAATTAGTTGGAATGCTGAATTGATCGATCTTTTGGTGTCACTGTTTAAGCATTCAGGGGGGTCGGACGTTGTTCTACTGAAAGATAATTACATTCATTGTGTGTACTATTTTCTAAGGTCTCTACAATCGAGCCTTTTTGATCGGATTAAAAATTTGAGTCTTATTTCAAATCAGACTTTATTGGTAGAAAATTGATTTCGGAAATAAAGAAAATTTGTAGCTTAGGTGGGTGTTTCTGAAGTTGCTCAATTCTCCGGGTTATGTTGTCCAGTAGGAAAATGGCAGTTTTGAAATAAGGTTGTTTAAATCATTGTATACAATAACTCCAAAAATGGATGGGAGATTTTAATTAAGTTTGCAGGCTTTTACTGATTTCTATGGACTGTCATTTGAGATGATTAGCGTTAATTTTTAACTTATTTGAGAATATAACCACTTGCTGGTATTGAATTCACTGTGTTGGTAAAGTTTTAATTCAATCCACTTCTTGTCATTTTAGGCCAATCCTTTGTTTTGTCATATAGGATCGTTATAAAAAACCGGGTTAATCTACGCGCTTACGTCCTAGTGCTACATGCTGTCATTGTTTATTATCTAAGCCTTTATCTAATACATCTGTCTGAAAATTTCCCTCTACAATCATGTTGTTTTACTATTTCATACTGTTATCTTATCTTTCGATTATTTACATGTATTATAGTAAAGATTTCAGAGATCCAAATAAAATTATTACTATTATTATTATTATTCGCTTACATGTTTCATTCTAGACGATTTATTTCATGGCATAAATTTATAAATAAAGAAGTAACTCTTAAATTATTTAAGTTTGGTTAGTGGGTAAATATGAACTGAGAATATGGAAATTCAAGTATTGGTTTGTAGGGATTTGGTTGATTGGTTACAGGATTTCATCATGAGCTGACATTGGTTAGAGAACCGTTGGAACCATTGCAGGTCGGGTGTGAGGACAAATAATCGCCGAAGACATTGGCTAGCGGTTACACTATATCGTCAATTGGCAGAAGTTAAAATTCATGGGCGGTTCGATCGGGTCCCAGTGGCTTAATGGTCTACTAGCTTCCCTTGTAACCAGAAGATCCTGGTTTCGAACACCGGTGGGTGCGTACTGATGCAAAGTCCCAAACTAGGACCAGGTTTTCCAATGTTTCTCTAACCAATGTCAGCTCATGATGAAATCCTGTAAACAATATGGAAACTGTCAAGTTAAGGGTAATAATATGCTTCTCACTGTGTATATTCTATAGATGTAAGCTTACTAATATATATACTACAGCTAGTGAACTTTTATACTTTATGTGCCTTCAGGTATCTTTGGCAAACGGATTGATATCTGGGGGGGGGGCAGGGTTGCTAGTCCCATGCGCGACGTTTTTTGTTTCTTTCTCCAAGTAAACGCTTAGGAGTCTGTTGAGTGACATCACGCGCCAAGCTTCTGAGTGGAACCTGATTGGGAAACGACGAATTAGGCCTGGGTGCATCCAAGGGTGTCTGAGTAGGAAACGAAAGCCTACAGACAATAGTAGAACCAGTTAAAAATAACTGCAAAGAACTGGGAGAAACGGAGATATGCCACTAAATCCCTGTGTCTCACTTGCAACCAAAGGGAATAATGATTAAGGTGATCTTTGAAAAGCCACTCAGGAATGAAAAAGGTGTCATTTTGTTTAAAAATTTATAATTACCGAAAAACTTATTATTGTGTGGTGCGCGTGCTTCATAAAGTAAAAGGAATAGTAAGTAATGGTAAAGAAAGGTGTAGGTGTTTACGGTTAAAAAGTGGGTGACGTTCTTGTTTGATTCAACTATGTCAGATACGATAAAATAATTGTTTTTTGATGAATTATCTTCAACAGCATAAACTTCTTCTGCAGTTGATTCTTCTAAAAAAAATTGAACTATGTTAAAATGTTTCTCAGAAAGAAAGCAGTACACCATATATAAAGGGAACTCTTCCACTTCATTGCCTACTGAAGCTGGTGTCCCTCAAGGCGCTGTCCTTTCTCCTTTTCTCTTTCTTTCTTCTTACATGACTTGCCTCATTCTGATGAAATAAATTTTGTGAAGTACGCTGATGACTTAACAGTTTCAATGGCTGTTAGTTCCCAGCTAGATTATACCAAAATAAATCGCTTTCTATTAGCAGTCAACAAATGGTCTGAGTCTAACGGTCTTAAACTGAATCCTTCTAAATGTCAAACTGTTAATTTCAGCTTAAGATGTAAACGACAGTTAAAAGAAGTCATCGATTCTCATGACAGTTGTAAGATTGACGACAATGATATAGGAATCAAATCAGAAATTAAGTATCTTGGACTCATTCTCTCTTCTGATCTCTCCTGGTCTTCCCATGTGTTAGCGATCTCCAGTAAAATATTCCGCCTGACATTTTACATTAAGAAGTTAAGGCACTCTGATATAACTCAACCCCTCCTCTTACAGTTCATAAACTCTTGCATCCTGCCTATTCTTCTTTACTGTTCACCCTTATTCCTGGTTTGCTTAAAAAGGACTATGTCACAATTCGTAGAATGCTGAAGACGGTCAGTAGGGTGAGTGGTGTCCCAGTGGACCACATAGTTAATGTTGTTATCAATAGGCACTTGACTTCGTGCAATAAATTCGCTAATGGGATTTTGTCTGACTTGGAGCATCCACTTCACGCTCAGCTTTCACCTTGCATCTCCTCAGGTAGAACAAGAAGTAACTTCAGAAAACTGTATGCTCGCACGTCTAAGTATAGAAATTCTATGATACCATACTTGGCACGTATTTTATGTGATAAAAATAGTGTCAGGCAACAATTAACTAACCTTTTTTCATCTAGTAAATAAACAATTTCCTTCATCCATCCATCCTCATATACCTTCAAGTTTTACTTTTATTATTTCTATTATATTTGTGGTCCTGTTGCTTCTTTGTTTTACTCTGATAACTGCAAACGCCAACTTATCTCTATGACTGCTGTAATCTTTGTTTTTCCCTTCACCATATCATGTAAAGAGAAGGTTATATTCAACATATTTAAACATGCTAGGATTTCTATACCGCATATAACGACAATACTGTGTGAAACAAGCCCACGGAATTTTTCATTTGTATTATTATTATTATTACCTTGTCGGTTATCATTATTATTTCCATTTTATATGTTGCATGTTTCTGACATTACCCCTATTGTAAATGGGAAAAATTTTTTGTGTGACTAATTTTATTTATAATTTGAGGATATTAGATGCAATATTGTGATTAATGCTGAAAATTCCATTCTGTATCACAAGTCCTGTTTTTGGAATAAAGTAAATCATTATTATTATTAAATATACCTAAATATTTTCTCTATGTATTCACTTTTTTGATACAATTAAATGCTAAATCAATTCATAGGACTAATAAAGATGAACCAAAAAGTTTAACTGAAGGAAGTATGCTATTGAATCCCTGTTCACAAATATCTGAAAGCAAACCAACTTCAGGGAATATCGAAGATTACACTGCCAGTTTAAGCTTTCAGTCTGAAGAGGATAAACCTATGAGGACTAATCATGTCTGGAAAATTCCCTTGTTTAAATACATTCGGCGGTTAACCAAGTAAGTGGCAGGCACTATACAAATTAGATTACTTCAGTGTTTTATACTTTCTCACTTGGCGCCTTTCCATATTCTAAACATTGAAACTACTGAATACTGAAATACAGATTTTTGTTAGTTTAAGTAAACAGTTTGAATACGCATTAAAGACTATTTACAACACAACGTGATGAGATGATTAAAAATTACTTCTGGCTATATGGGATAATTCGAGTACTGAAATCTTTAAGCTTCGTTATTTTCATTTATATGACGTGATAAGAGTAAGCAGTTGTTTCTTCAAACTTTCTGCTAGTAAAATGGAAAGATAGTCATGAATGAGACCAGACTAAAATCTAAACTTCCACACTGAACTGATAAGTCATCAGTTGTGAATAACCATCACCGCATTCCCTCATATTTTAAAACTAACTTGAGAGTAGACATTGAATATCAGTAGTGGATTGCTTGTTATGAGAATAACTAACATGGTATTGACCAAAACTTCGTATTTTTAAATTGACACTTAAAGAAATACACGGCAGAAAGTAGTTCTATCAAAGAACCTCTTTTCTGCTCATAATTATATACAGTCTACATTCCAGTCGGTTCTCTTCTGTCAGCTTCACCTGACTCCACAACTGCCCAAAAAGGCTTCATTTCCAATTCCTACATGTTACACCCAGATGCGCGACTAGTTGCTTCTCATCCAGCATCCACTCGAACGCCTGGTGTGCGACATCTCTTGAATATCTCCTCAGTGTATATTCAGTCCATCTCCATTTCTTTCTGTATATTTATTGGGTAACAAGTCCTTGACTCACTTGCTGCCAGAATGACAATGATATAATTTGTTGGTTATTTCTGCATTAGCCATGAGATCTCGAGATAATTTTAGTTAGTGTTTAATGCGTTGTCTATACCAAAACGCTTAAATTCCCATATTTACGTTTAATTTTTTTTTTAAACTCTCACAAGTTCCAGACGACATAACCCTGTAATAGTGGCAACAAATACATCGGCATTAAACAAACCTGTTCTAAATGATAAATCCAAACAGTTGGTTAACCTACCGATTGAAAAAACAACTAACCATCAGCTATCATTTGAATCCCATCTATCAGAACCTCTCAGTCACCTGAGTAAAGTCGAAAATCCGGTTTCAGTCAATAATACCAATGAAACAAAGAGTAGTTATCAGTTGAAATCAGTTAGTGATGAACAGATTGAAATCATTCAAGTAGAGTGTGCACTAAAAGAAACCATTCTTGAGAATAAATTCAACACATACTTTGATATTGGTGGTGAAGATAATCAAAAGAAAAACATTCCAATTCTTACAGAAGACAGAAATTTTGACGGCGAAAATTGCGAGAATCTTTTGAAATATAAGAGTTATAATGACTCTGTCTTTCTGGACGAGACGGGTAACCTTTGTTTTACAGCATAAATCACAACAATCGAAGTGTTTTTTACACCTTGGCTACCATATCAGTAATGTAGTTGAGTCAGTCCACTTTTTCTTTTATTTCCATTCCTTCCACTCATTATAAGTCTTTTCTACTGCATTCTTCTGATGTTTCTCCACTATAAATCTTTCTTATTTTCTTCTTCTACACGTAATTCAGCCACGTTTTGTTCACTTTTCTCTAGTGCGTGCAATTTCTGTCTACACTGACTTTCTCTCAGTCGCTACTTCCTGTATTTTTGTTTTCAATAATCCATTTTTTTAATTTACATATATATATATTAGTCTATATCAATTCCACCGAATCTTTCGCTTCTCGTGTTTTATTCATCCCACTGACTTCTTATCTTAACAGTTATCTAAAAACGTGATGACGCAATCCTGTAAACGTTCTACAGTTGTTTTTTTGTTGTATTGCAGCTTAGTTTGTTACAGTACTGGCATTAAATTAAATAATAGTGATGTAAACATCACGCAGTAATTGCTGGCAGAAAGTTATTCATATTTTAAAATATATGTATATGTTAAAAAATAAAACTAGTGTTTCTTACCTTTCAAAAACGTATATATATATTGTTGGATTCGAGTCTGACATGTGCATGAATTTCTGTGAGAGACCGCTATTTCGCGACATATAACTCCACAGAGTTGAGCAAGAGTTAATATCTATTACAGAGTCACTGGAAAACCTGGAAGTACTGGAGAGCTGTTTGCTCCTAGTTTGGGACTCTTCATCAGTAAGCCCCCATAGTGGTTCGAACCCACTTTGACAACTAATCGGATGCTCACCAGCGAGAAGCAGTAACCAGTGGGGTTCACCAAATCAAGCGAGAAGACAGTTAGTCACCTCTGACACTGGCTGATAGTTGAGCTGAATATAAATATCGCGAACTGGCAGAAGTTATAATTAATGAGCCATTGGATCAAGTCTTGGGGGAGGGGGGGGGAATCGTCCACGATCTCGTATTGCAGCCGAAAGTTCCTGTATTCCGACCGCATTGAATGACAGCCGATGAAGAATGGTTCTGTAACTGTTGTCAGCTTGGGTCAATTCTGTAACCAATCAAATCCCTGCAAACAAACACCTGATAATATAACTTTATCCTTACAATTGAATACCGATAAATCCAATTTCCAGGCAAATCTTTACTATTCGTGCATGTGTGTGAATATACAAACATCTCACTGCTAACCACCTTACAAACCTTACAATGTGATGCGTATTGTACAGCGTTTTCGATAAGTAAATGTGACTATCAGGTAAATTATTTTTTATTTAAGGATTTACTGATCCGTACCTTCATCCGATACAGCTTTTTATCAGAGGATTACTAATAAAAAGCATAAGTGAGTAGCATTTTTGTCAGAATAGGAGAATTATTTATGTTTTGTCTTTTAACAGTGAGCTCTATATTATGCTTGAGACAAGACTACTGATCTGTGATGTGCTGTTATCAACCAATTGGCTGAGAAATATGAACACTAAAAGTTGCAAAAAAGACAGTTTTATTTACAGTTCTGACATTGCGGGAAAGTGTGGCCAGTCGAAAAGCATGAAATTTTGATGAGAAGAGTAGTGTAGTCAAGGTTAATATGGCTGGTAAGATTGTGAACTCTGACCTTTTGAAATGGATGTTGGACCATATACTGATATTACTTATTCTATTATCTTTTGTTATTCTGAATATATTGGGTCCTCGCTTACTACACTTCATGGGTAGATTTAACCAGGGATTTTTAATTTACGGTAATAATAAAGTGGCAACAGTTAGAGAAAGAGAAAGTATCTGGAAAGCCTTCTCTGATTGAACACTTTGTAGGAAGTAACTAGTATCAGGCATCTAGTTGTTTGTTTGGTGCAACCTGAATTCTATCAGTCAAGTTTGCAGTTTGGTCACTCGCTATCACGGAACACTGTTAATTGTTGTTCTTACATGGTTGTAGGCAATTTCGGAAAGCTTTGTCCTTGTGTAACAACAGAAGACAAGGGTCAGGCAATAGATCGTTTTATTACGAAAATCAACACTTATTTATATAAATTTCACATACATTATTATAGCTTATTCAAGCAGACAAACACAGTCTTCTGATTGGTTGTTTCTGGTTTCTCGGAAAGTGGAACCATCTATCTGCGAATCATATTTGCCCCCGTTTAAGTTTGCTGTGATTGGTTGTTGAAACAGCCTTGTTCATATTTTCTCACGGCCCATATTAGTGACATAGACTTTGACATAGATTAATGTCAACCAATTGGCTAGCAGCCTGCTCTCACCACACTTGTTGATACTCACCAGTCAGAAAGGCGTATATACAAACATGAAGGAAGTCACATCCCTCTGAGATTCAAAGCCGTGTTACCTAGTGCTGCAGTTAAGTATTAGGGGCATGACACTAGTTACTTGCTGATTAGTGTTAAATAAAAGTACCTAATGTGGTCCTACAGGAGGCCAGTTGTCAGCACGAATGGATCAGTTTTAACGTCCCTGACTGCAGCACTAGGTGATATGAGTTCGAATCTCTAGAGAGATGAGTTTCTCTAAGGCTGCAGATACACTTCTCTAACGAGTGTTGGCAGGCACCAAACCCACCAGCTTCCTCCAACAACAATTATGAATTTGAATTAAATTAGTCTGTGCTAAAAATTATGAGGACCACGCAGAAAAATGCTGATAAATTCTTAGTGGAAATATTATCGAAAAAAACGTTGGTTATGTTCACATTGAAGCGTTGGTTTGCATGGATTTGATTGGTTTCAGGTTCGATCACCAGATAACATTAGTCAGTGATTCACTGGAAAATCCCTGCAAGCCAGCACCTAATAATTAATCTGATGTTCACTAGAGACTGGCTCTATACAAGAGGTTGCCTTGAATTCTAGTGAGCAGTCGTAGGCAGTGAGGTCCACTAAGGCCTAGAAAATCAGCTGGTGGTTGTGCTGAATATACATATCGCAAATTGGCAGAAGTTGAAATTCGTGGATCGTCGGTTCGGTTCCCGGTGGCTGTATGGTCTACGAGCTTGCCTTGTAACCGGAAGGTCCTGGGTTTGAACCTGTATGGTGGATGTGTACTGTGGTGAGTCTCAAACTTGGACGATACGGTTGTTCAGTACTCCTTGGTTTTCCGACGGTTCTTTAAGTGATGTCAGCTTGGGAGCAATCCTGTAATAAATTCACATCCCACGACTATTCAATTCCGACTAAATTAAGTAATCTGAATAAAACTATAAAACAATGGCTGAAGCAGAATAGTGTGTTTTCATTTAGTTTCGTCGGTGTCTCATTTTATTAAGTTTATTTACAGGGGAAGTTTTAAACATACTCGCACAGAAAGTATAATGTTACTTAACAGGAGACTCCGAAAGTGATAGACAAAATGCATTTTTTTCGTAAAATTCCACAGAATCTAAGATGTATCCTCCCTCTCCTCTCTCAATGTAGGTAGCTCACATACGCGTAAATTTATATACAAAATAAAACTATCTGAAGATACGCTAGCCAACAAGAAATGCAGTGAATTTCTTCTGAAGATTGTTGAAATAGTTGACTTACAATGTTTAAGACGCAGAAACAAGCAGCTATCAGGCTGATACGACCATCAATAGAACCTGGACGTTTACAGGTCCCTCACGATAAAGAACTACTACCATTCTAAGCACTACTCGCGACAACAATGACCACGACATGTGAAGCCAGCAAAAAAGAAAGAAGACAGATAGACTGTTGACAAGAGAGCTTTTGCTGTCTCGTTTCAACAGTCTAATAGACTTGATAGGTTTTATATGATCTTGAAAGACACTAATTTCATTGATAAGTTAAAATAGTTAGTAATAAATAGGGTTCAGCCTTCATAAGGGTGAGGGAGAACATAGACATTGCAGTGCCGTAAATAAGAGTAGTAGTTTAAGGCTTTGAAAACATTAGATGTATATAACACAGGCTTTCTTTTTGATGGTAGCTCAATCTCTCAGTTCTTCCATTCATCTGATTACAGAATAACTTCGGTTTAATATCTTACTCTTCAATTCGTTGAAAACTCACTTTTTATTGTTGATTTTGTTGTATGAGTTATACTCATCATATTATTTTGAGCAATTCATCAGGTAGCTACCATTATCTTATCCATCTGCAGTCTCTATTAAACAACTTTTTTTCTCAAATGTTTTTTAATAATTGGAACCTTCTGTGTATGTGTAAGGAATTTTCTTGATTACTTCGCTGGTCCCCTTTTGATCGACATAGTTTTATCGCTTTGAAAAATGCATAAAAATTTCTCTGCGCTTAAGCATGTTAAGCGTTTTCAGGTTGTGTGCAGCTGTCGAGAAACCAGTGACTTCTCTGAAACCCTCTTGTTTGTTTGCTTCAAATTCAGCAGGAGGAATAAGTGTGTGTGAAGATGAGTAAGCTTACGTTTTTCTTTATCTAGATGAGAGCTTTTCCAATCGTCTTTGTAAAAAAAACAGGTTCAGGACAAAGAAAGTTATTTTTTTGTTTTGGTGAAATTAAAGTGTAATTGAAAAAAGAATGTTCGTCTGCCAACAGAGAGATATCAATAAAAAAAACACAATTATATACAGACATGTCATGTTATGTGTATTTTTAAAATTTAACCAGTTTAGACAACTTTTAAATGAACATATTTTATAACTTTTGTCCGTTAATTTATTTCTAAATGATGAGAATATAAGAAGAAAGAGAAGTTCGTTGGTGATAGAAAGAAACAGAAACACGGAATAATGGACTTCATCGCATAATTGAAAACATTTATTTCCCGATATGAATTTAAAACAAGCAATAAAGGTTCATAAAGCAGGATTTAATGAATTCATCAGATTTCGGTAGAACTCGTCAGCTGAATACTCTACATACACGGATATATATACTTTTGAAATTACATTGGGAGATATAAGACTGATAAGTAAATAATCTACATTGAATTAGTCAATCAGAAAGACACATGCGAATGTTTTACAGGTCATGTTCAAATAGATAAGGGGAGAGAGAGTATGAGAGATCAAAATTAAGATAAATTGCATTACGCTTCAATTACATCACTTAGATAAACAATTAGTCATTAGGGAATATAACGAGAATTGCAAACAGAGTTATA